AAAAATGATGGTGGTGGTGATGGAATCACCGGGGGTAAAAGCGACGGTGGTGGTACTAAAGGGAGCGGTGGAAAGAACGGAGGGAAGATTAAATCAGGTTCTGCAATTGTTTGTTGAGGTTTAGGCTCTTGGTTACAGAGCTCTGGCTGTTTCAACGGCTTGAAGGCGAAGAAGCCTGCGGAGAAAACATGGAGATCTTTCCTCTTGGATTTAAGACGAAGGCCAGACGAAGTTGCAAATGAAGCCGCAGAGCAGAATGGATGATTGCTTCTTATAAGTTTTACCGAGCAAGATCCTACGCTGTCGATGTGCTTGCTTATTTTCGTGGGTAGACGAGCTCTGAACATTCCGCGTCGGTTAGTCTTCACCTCTTTTCTGAACTCTCCGCATTCAATGGCGACTGAAGCACCTGTACAAAATCGCTAATATGATTAGTCGGTGTTGGTGTTCAAATTCAAACAAGGACACATGCTCAAGAACAACCGTTTCCGTTTCCGTTTCCGTAACTTCAAGTTGACCATAGGAAAATTTCAAGGAGAGAGAGTGAACCTGAAATGAAGCGGCTCGCCTTTGAGAATTCCTGGCGAAAGCAGGTATCACAGTATACAGTCCCGACCACCACCGCAGATTGAACCTTCTCGTTCTCAGCAAAAGAGCAGCGAAAAGCGCAGCAGGACACGAGTAGTAGTGGTAGCAGAATAAAGCATCGGATCCCGACACCGATGTCCATTTTACCAGTTTATGGAATGAAACGGAGGGGTTGTTCAGAATTTATAGAAAACGATGGACGCTAAATGAATCATGTGAACAGCAGCAACTAACTGTGAGCTAACGTAATGTTCAAAAGGATACACGAGGAGTTGCTTTCTTTAGCTCTTGTTCTGATGTAGAGAGCTGGGTCCATGGAAAGTTCACGGGGTTTAGTTTCAGGCACAGCGCACCATAAAAATCGATGTCGGCCGAGGAAGAGGACATCGGGCGATGATAAGGATAGAGTTCACATGGATGTCTCTTTCTCCATAAAATTCTGTGCTCTATAAGCTTGTCAGGCTCAGAGATAAATTCTTGATCTCCTTGTCGATATACGGCGTTCAAAAAAAAAAATAATGCAAGCGTTACAAACATGTAGTAACTTGGTTAATGTTGTTGGCTTCTGTTTCGTCTTTGATTTAAGGCTGAATCAAATTGGCTATTCTTAGTTTGGGTTTAAACTTAATCTGTTCATCGACGTGCAATAATTCATGCGGGTTCTTAGAAAACATCGATAATGACGTGATTCTTATTCCTTCACGGGGGATGTATCTGTTTATCCGCGCGATTAAATATCAACCGAAGAGGGTAACGCTGGCATCAACTTGGGTCCACTGAGGAGTAACTCGAAATTTTCTGATGGACACAGCGGAAGAGCAACGCAGCAAGGGCTCATTTTGCTTTGGTTTTTTACTTTTAAGTTCCCCCGTGAAAAACAAAATTGACAGTAATATGCTTGAGAAAACTTCTTCGAATTGACAGGTTTCAAGGAGCTCTGTGAGCTCACGGGCTCTAAAATCTTGCTAAAAGGTCAACCGTCATGGTCACAAAGCTTAAATTAACATATTAGAGTTTAAAATGCCCTGCGGATGTATCAATAAAAACTAACTGTTACAAAACTATCGGTAGATTCCGTTGGCTTGTCAGAGATAAGCACAGTCTGATCATTCTCAAATGTAAGTCCTTGAGAGTGGTGTGCAGGTAGGCATTATGATACATACTTTTCATCAAACTTTTTTTTTGACAATGTGGCCCCTAAGTTTTACCCTTTCCTCTTAAGAAGACATTGTAATTTACCATTCTCTTCTAAGAAGCCCTCTCAAATCTTCTTGTTAACTTGGAAGATTTGTTGTTAGAAAAAAAAAGCTGGGGGCTTTTTAGAAGAGAGGGGTAAAACTTAGGGGCATGTTTATCGAAAATAGAAAGATAAGGGCTTCTCAAATAAGATGAGCAAAACATAGGGGTTTCTTTGTCAAAAATAGAAAGTTGGGGCTTCTAGAGAAGAGGAATAAAACTTAAGGGTTCTTTAGACTATATTCTCACCAAATAGCATGTGCTCTATCGAATAAGGTTTGTCATATTGAAGGATGGATCTACACTAAGGAACGTCATTAGTGTTAGGATATGTGAAGCCTAACTATCAGACCTGTCCTATACTTCAGATTGAAGAGGAAACAGAAGAAGTTGGAGGAACAGGGTCAACGGTGAAGAAGTTCAAGAAAAAAAAACGACGAGGATTCATTTCGGCAGATTCACGGTTGACCACGGGTGGCGCGCAGTCGACCGCGAACGTGCACAAGACTCAGGGTGGCTTCTGGATTTTCTGCGGTCGACCGCAACGGTCGACCGAGTTGATATCTGGACTTTCGGTGGTCGACCGCGATACCCTGTAAACATTTTATGCTCTCTGTCGTTCGTCGCAGTCGACCGTGGCGGTTGATCGCGAATCAGGTTTTGGCCTAGGTTCGGTTTTTTGACCTGTTTCAGTTTTCTGTTTGTAATACCCTTATGATATTAGGGCAAATTGTAATAGAGACGAAATAGTAAAATTTTCTCCTGCGGCGGTCGTGGACGTAGCTTCTCACATTGAGAAGTGAACCACGTAAAATCTTGTATATTTGTGATTGTTTTCTTTCTCTCTTATCTCTATTTCCAAATCGCATCATGGGTTTGATCTCAAAAAACCCAACAAGTGGTATTGGAGCTGTCAGGTTTAGTGCAAGCGATTTGAGGTTGGAGACATGGGATCTGAGAAGGAGACATCCAAGATTGAGAGTTTGATGGGACAAACTTTGGATTTTGAAAGATACAGATGGAGGATTACCTCTATCAGAAGGATTTATACCTGCCATTGGGTGAGAAGCCAACGGATATGAAGGATGCGGAGTGGAAGCTATTGGATCGAAAGGCCCTTGGAGCGATCAGGTTGACCTTGTCGAAATATGTAGCGTTCAACATCAAGAATCAGATTACGACGGCGGATCTCATGGCGGCATTGTCCAGTATGTATGAATATCCCTCTGCGGCGAACAAGGTACATCTCATTAAAAAGTTATTTAATTTGAGGACGTCTGAGAGCCAGAAATTCAAGGAACACCTGAATGAGTTTAATGAGATCACGGATCAACTAAACTTCGTCAATATCCAATTTGATGATGAAATCCAAGACCTCTTGATACTTGGTTAATTACCTGACAGTTGGAAGGGTACCGTTATTTCGATTAGCGGGTCATGTGGAAAATCAAAACTGAAGTTCTCAGAAGTGGCAGACATGATTATGACTGAGGAGATTAGAAGGAAAGAGGAAGGAATTTCTACTTCAGGGTCGGCATTGAACTTTGAGAGCAGAGGCAGAAATAGAAACAAAAATAGAGGGAATAGCCGTGGAAGATCTAATTCGAGGAATGATAAATCAAAGTCCAGAAATCACAAAAGCAAGAAGGAGATTGATTGCTGGAATTGTGGCAAGTTTGGCCACTATGAGAATCAGTGCAGAGAATTGCTGGAATTGTGGCAAGTTTGGCCACTATGAGAATCAGTGCAGAGAACCCAAGAAGGACAAGGAGAACAAGACTGAAGCAAACGTATTGATTGCTGGAATTGTGGCAAGTTTGGCCACTATGAGAATCAGTGCAGAGAACCCAAGAAGGACAAGGAGAACAAGACTGAAGCAAACGTCGCCTCAAGAGAATCAGATGATGCCCTTATTTGCTCGTTGGAGAGCAAGACAGAATCGTGGGTATTGGATTAAGGAGCGTCGTTTCATGTTACCTCAAATAGAGATTTATTTGAGAGTTATGTTTCAGGAAACCTAGGAAAAGTCTATCTTGGTAACGATCAGCCCTGTGATATTATTGGCAAAGGAGCTGTGCAGATCAAACTCAATAGGTCTATATAGAAGCTGAGTGATGTGAGACATGTTCCTTTTTTGAGGAAGAATCTGATTTCCATAGGACAATTGGCAAAAGAGGGATATGTATCAACCTTTGCATGTGATACGTGGAAGGTTACCAAGGGGTCTATAGTTGTAGCCCGTGGTACGAAGACTGGATCTCTCTATATGACGACAGATGCACGTAGCTCCATCGCAGTGGCTGAAAGTAAGGAAGACCCAAATTTGTGGCACCAAAGGCTTGGTCACATCAGTAGCAAAGGCCTGAGGGTTATGCAGTCAAGTGAAAATTTACCCGGTTTAAGGTCGGCTGATTTTGACCTTTGTGAAAGTTGTATCTTTGAGAAACAAAAGAGAATAAGCTTCAAAAGGGTTGGCAGAACTCCTAAAGAAGAGATGCCTGAGCTAGTTCACATAGATGTGTGAGGTCCAGCATCAGTACAATCCACTGGTGGAAGGTTATACTTTGTGACCTTCATAGATGATCACTCGAGGAACTGGTGGAAGGTTATACTTTGTGACCTTCATAGATGATCACTCGAGGAAGACTTGGGTCTATTTCATGAAACACTGTGACCTTCATAGATGATCACTCGAGGAAGACTTGGGTCTATTTCATGAAACACAAATCAGAAGTGTTTAAAGTCTTCAAGAGGTGGAAGGCTATAGTAGAAAATAAAACCGGTTTGAAGATCAAGAAGTTTCGATCAGACAATGGCAGTGAATATGAAGATTCAGAGTTCAAGAAGTTCTGTTATGACAGTGTCATCAGATTAGAGAGAACAGTATCAGGTACACCACAGCAGAACGACATAGCAGAACGAATGAACAAAACGTTGACTGAGTGAGCCAGAAGCATGAGACTACAAGCAGGACTCCCAAAATAATTCTGGGCAGAAACAGTCAACACAGCTGCCTACTTGATCAACCGAGGACCATCAGTAACTTTAGAGAACAAAATACCTGAAGAAGTTTGGAGTGGAAAGGAGGTAAACCTTTCTCACCTGAGAGTATTTGGCTGTGTTTCATATGTTCATTTGAGTGATCATGTTAGAAATAAACTTGACTCTAAATCCTTGAAATTCTATTTTATTGGCTATGGTGGTGATGAGTTTGGCTACAAGTTCTGGGATGAGCAGAATAAGAAAATCATCAAAAGCAGGGATGTGGTTTTCAATAAAGCAGTTCTCTACAAAGATCGTGATGTCGCTCAGTCCACTAGTTCGGTACAGTCTGAGCCCACATACTTCAAGTCAGATGATGCCTCAGATGGAGGCAACCTTGAAGCCAGTTCAGATGAGGAAGCAGCAAAAGAAGTAGAAGAAGAGTTGATAAAGGAGACTACCTCAGAGGGGACAAACGAAAATGCAGACCCTGTTTCGTCCGTTAGAGAGTTGAGGCAGACAACAAGAGTTCCCAAGCTAAATCTGAGGTATCCATCACTACAGCCCAGAGCTCATTTGAATTACCTATTATTGAGTGACGACGGAGAGCCAGAAAGTTGTGATGAAGCATGTCGAATGGATGATGCGAGCAAGTGGGAGCTTGTTATGAAAGATGAAATAAAGTCCTTAAACACTAACAAGACTTGGGAACTTGCAAAGTTGCCAGCAGGAAAGAAAGACTTGAGTAACAAATGGGTGTACAGAATCAAGGAGGAACATGATGGTTCCAAGAGATACAAGGTTAGATTGGTGGTCAAAGGGTTTTAGCAGAAAGAAGGAGTTGACTACACGGAAATCTTCTCTCCTGTAGTCAAATTGACTACCATCAGATCGGTTCTGAGTATTGTTACAGCTGAAGACCTACACCTCGAGCAGTTAGATGTAAAGACAGCTTTCCTCCCTGGTGACTTAGAGGAAGAGATATACATGTAGCATCCTGAGGGGTTTACTCAGAAAGGTAAAGAGAAGATGGTGTGCAAATAGAAAAAGAGCTTGTATGGTCTGAAACAAGCTCCAAGGCAATGGTACAAAAAGTTCGATGGATTCATGTATAGGAACGAATACTCCAGGTGTAATGCTGATCATT